GTGAGACTTAGGAAATGAAACGTAGCAGCTTTTCTTTTATTCAGTGTAGTTTACTTAAGTTGCTAATGATAAAGTAAAATCAGAATTGTCTATTACTACTGTAAAGAAAAACGAACAGGACTGAGTCAGATAAATGAAAATAAAAGTCTAAAAGCTTTTTCAAAGATTAATTTAGACTTATTTTGTTTTTCCGAAATGGATTGCATAATATATTTCCGTTTTCAAATTAAAATTAATGATTTATAATACATTTCAAATGGTATTAGCTAAAGTTTTCATTTATTAAGTACTTTGTGGAAGCTATAAATATTGATATATCGTCTTCCAGTAATTTATACAATTATCTGCATAAATCTTTAGAAAAATATTGTGACGAGGAGTTATTTATAAAGGCCCAGCAAGGCATGATGCAAACATGAGCAAATTGATGAGCAAGAACAACTTGAAATATTTTGTTTCCTATAAGTTAGATTTGATTTTAATGGATTTGACATTTTCTCCCAGGACACAGTTTTTTCTGGGTCCATATTTAGGAGAGAAAGTTAAAATGTAAATTGAAATAACATTTACTTTTTATTTAATTTCGTCTCTGACATGTATATATTTAGGCTGGTTTGAACTCAGCCTGGCACTTTGGAGCGACTGGAAGTCTCAGTTTCATCCAAAATGATTATGATTATGTGACCAGCCTTAGGGACACGGGACCTGGATCCTCAATAATAACAGTTATCATTGAATTTTGTTATCTATAAGCACTTACTGAGCACTGATTACATTCCAGGTACCAAGATACAATATGTTTATTCATTAATTCTTAATAATAACTCTAGAGCTAGATCATATTAATGTCCTCATTTCACAGATGAGAAAACGGAGGGTTGGAGAAGTGAAGTAATTTTCCCACAGGCACACAGCTGGCCAATGGGAGAGCTAGGATTTGAGCTAGGTGGGTAGGGTTCTCCCAGGGGGGACCGCAGGCCAGCAGCAGCAGCAGCATCGCCTGGAAACGCCCGGATATCACCATCCCAGGCCTACCTCACACCTACTGAATCGGAAACTCTAGGGTCGGGCAGACACCTGTTCTGACAAGCCCTCCAGGTAATCCTGATGCACTGTCTTAGTCTGCTTGGGCTGCGAGGACCAAAATGCCACCGCCTGAATGGCTCACACAGACGTTTCTTTCTCACAGTTCTGGAACCCGGGAAATCCCACATCAAGGTGTGGGCAGATTCAGGGTTTGTAGGTTCACACACAGCCATCTTCTCCTGTGTCCTCACCTGGCTGAGAAGAAGGAACCAAACCAAGCCCCCCATCTCTTCTTATGAGACCATTCATCCCATTTACGAGAGCTCTGTCCTCAAGACCTAATTGTCTGCAAAGGCCCACCTCCTAATTCCATCGCATTGCAGCAGTTCTCAACCTGTGGGTCGCGACCATCGGAAAACACATATAGCATATCAGATATTTACATTACGATTCATAACAGTAGCAACATTACAGTTATGAAGTAGCAACGAAAATAATGTTATGGTTGGGGGTCACCACCACATGAGGAACTGTATTAAAGGGTCGCGGCATTAGGAAGGCTGAGAACCACTGCAGGGATTAGGATTTCAGCACCGAGTCTTGGAGGGGACACAGACATTCAGTCCATAACACTGAAGTGTGGGAACCAGTGCCTGATAGAGAAAGCGCTGTTCTCTGCTGGTCCCGAGGCCCGAAGGGTAGCAGCAGACACTCATGCAAACACGCGACTGTCATCCATCTAGTACGTGCAGCAGAGGAGGACGCCTGAGGTGCCTGCTGGTGCAGAGGAGCTGGGGAGGAGAAGGAAGGTCCTGTTCAAGGAGGGATCTGCTCTCCTGTTTCAAAGGCAGAGGAAGGGCAGTCCGTTCCAAACGGGCAGAGTCTGTTGGTTCTGCTTATCTAGAGTCTGAGCAGATAGTTGAAATGACTTCCAATGGTTCTGATCATTTTGGCAGGGTCAGCATAGGCACTGTAGCTACCTGCTGTCCTGCCCACCTTCTGAACATGACTGTGCCCCTCACATGTTACTCTTGGAACTGATGGCTACGGAGTAGTCAGAAGAAATTTTTTAAAAATACCTAAGATATGATGTACTCTTTAAAAAAATAGTTTTATTGGTATTTAGAGAGAAAGGAAGGGAGAGGGAGAGAGAAAGAAAAACATTGCTGTGGGAACAGAACATCGATTGACTGCCTCCTGCACGCCCCCTACTGGGGATCGAACCCACAACCTGGGCATGTACCCTGACCAGGAATGGAACTGGCAACCTTTCTTTTTTTTTTTTTTTTTTTTTTTTCAGTGTAGATTTTGTCTTTATTCAATGATCTTAAAGAAGTTACTGTTAAACATTGAAGGAAGAACCTACCGTTGTCCCACCCACATCTGGGTGTTGCTGTTGACATTCCTTTGTTGAGGCTATATCTTTATAAGCTTTTTAGCAAGTATATGTCGAACACTTCTGTTTCATGGTCAAGACAGGATCAGAGGCCATGGATACTGACAACAGATTGGTCTGTTTTATTCTGTCTTTTTCCATGATCATATCTACTGCCTCATCTTGATTTATAAGCAAAACCTAGACAACCTACAAAAATCTGCTTTGTGGTTTATCTAGGAATAATACAGAAAATATTGCTATCATCAGTAAGCTTTACAAGAAAGTCAATTTTGTACAGTTTATTTTGATGTAAATAAAATGTGAATTTCTTAAAAAAAAAAAAAAAAGAAAATTGCCAGAAAAAATCACCTTGGCTTTATATAAAACATTTGTCATATCAGAACTATAGACCCTTTCCCAGAAAATACTGATGATGTGGGCTCTTGGTTGGCAACCTCAGGAACTGGCAACCTTTCAATGCATAGGATGTCACCCAACCAACTGAGCCACACTGGCCAGGGCTGATGTACTCTTTCTGCTAGAGAAGTAATTCAGTCTTAGATATTAGAAAGGCTGACCTTCAATAATAGTACCTGTTTCTTTTACCTGTTAAATCCAAAGTGAGTCTATTAAAACTACCATCTCTAGCTTTGAGATATAACAGCACCGAGCATTACAAGGCACTATTACAGCTTGCAATACCTAAATCACTTAACCCGTTAGGTGAGTCATTGTTATTTTTCAGGATACAGTATTTTAGAAATCTTCCCTGTTGTTTTCCAGGCTAAACAAATTCTTTGCACTTTCCATTTTGCTGGAAACTGGGGTTAGACAGAAACAGCAAGGGCTGTCGACTCTTCGAAACGTCTTTGAAGAGATGGCCCTGATATGCACCACTGTTTTCAATCACTTAAAAGGCAGTAACTCAATTAGGCCATCCTTTGTATAAGAACCGCCACTGCTTGCAGCTCACTCCCCGGCCCGGCACAAGTAAATCACTTCGATAAAATCCCCTTTTCCTCCCTCCTGGAGACGAGAATGAGCAACGGTACCAGTGGTCTACCAAGGACAAGATGAATGTAACGTGCCTCTCCTAGAAACGCACCATGTTTCACCAGGCAGTGATGCATTGTGTTGTTCGGAAAATGATTTTTCGTGTGTGTGTGTCGAGCAGATGCTAAACTGCTTTCAAGCTAAATGCTCGGATTGAGCAGTTGATGTGCCTCAGATAGGAAGAGGAATACGCTTCAGCGACACCATCCATAACGGGCCCACGGATGGCCATTCCTTCATGACTGTGCCAAGAGAAAATACTGTCTAGGGTATTGGGAGCAGTTCCTTCCTCGTGTGAAATACCCGCATATATTAGCAGCATGGCACGAGGCGCAGACTAAAAGGACATGGACTTGAATGTCCTGTTAGTAAGGGTTGTCATTTCATTAAGGGTTGCTCAGCTCACTTGACTCTTTTCTTAATGACCCAGGTTACCCAAGAAGATAGTCCCTCTCCAACGCTGTAGTGAATTAAGTCCTTGAGTAAGTGACATCCTCTGTGCAGGCTGTGGGGGTTCAACATTACCGGCGTGTGGACATACAGAGATTAAAATACAGGCATCCCCCCCAAAAATGTATACACCCTTTAACACCTGACAGCTCAATTTTGAAAATGAAATGAAGCAACGCTGCCTTTAAAATTATTCAAAGTGTGTGTGTACATTTTTGGGGGGACACCCTGTATAGGATAAGTGGCAAATTGATTAATTAGGGTCCATGTCATGCCAAATTATCCTTTCCCTTCGTATATTTATTAACACACATAACATTATTCCATTTAATATATTTACTGGTACCTCTTACTGAGTGATAAAATATTTTCATTTTAACAAGTCTAACTCAAGGGATTCAACAAGTGTGTTTACGGGATTCTAAGAAGTAGGTTACACTCTTAAACAAGTGATACAGACTCACGGAAGCTTACCATTTTATCTCTTAGGGTAGATACAGTTTTATAAAAGAACCACAGAGACCATTCCAGTCAAGTTCTCTGCTGCCGTCAGCTTCCATTCACTGAGAAAAAAATCCCCTTCCTTGGATCATATGATTCTGAATTAGGATTATTCAGATGGGTAGAATTAAATTGGAGAAAATGTAATCTAAGACAATAAAACATGTTTACCTGCTTTAGTTATACTTTATAATCACTAGCATTTACTGAGCACCTCCTACATGCCAGACACTGTTTGGGGCAGCTCAAATGCCGCGTCTCATTCACTCCTCACAGTTACAGTTCTTACCGCTAATCCTGCTGCATTTTATTTTTCTGCAGCACTGTTGTCATCATCTGATATGCTACACATTTTTTTTTTACTGTCCTCTCTCTCCCCTCTAGCCTCCCCCCTCGTTAGGCATGGATTATTGAGTTTTGGTTACAGCTGCCTCCACCGTTCTCACGTGTAAATGCTCTGAGTGTCATCTTTCCCGGAAGGAGGTCTTTTGGCTGAGACACTGGTTTTCCCGACTAGCAAATACCTGTGAGACCCCTCTGCTCCCGGAGTACCTGCCTTTCCGTTTACTGGGCATGTTGCTCTCTCCCCCAGGGAGAGCGTGGAGAGCCTCATTCAGAAGCATTCCTACGCCCGCTCCCCCATCCGCACCTACGGAGAAGAGGACGTGCTGGGGGACGAGGTGCAGACGGCACAGACCCGAGGTAAGGTGCTCCGGGGGTGCAGCTGCTGGGAGCCCATGCCCAGCGCCCAAGGGAGAGAGGCAGGTGCGGGATGAGGCCTGACCTCAGGGTACCCTATCCCCAAAGAATTTCAGGAGCCTCTTCAGGAAGGCGCAGCCCCTGAGGGCTTGGCGTTCAGTATTCTGCCCTTGAGTCTTAAGAGATGATGCTCCCGAAGGTTTCCTGGGCTTTGGACGTTTAGTAGAAGAATCTCCAGCCTCTGAGTTACTTGTCTGTGACCCAACCAAAGAGCGGGAGGGCTTGGGGGGCGGTCCCTTAGTCTTTCTGACGCTTGGTTTTATAATCTGAAAATCTGTCCTACTTAGGTCAGGAATACCTCGCGAGGATAATGACTGAAACTGGAAACACTTTAAAAAGAAGATTCTCCCAGTGCAGGGCATTATGGAGGGCCAGTGGCCCCAGTGGGAGCGGGAGGGGGACTGGAAGTTCCTCTGTTGAAAAGGCCCAGGGAGGAGCCCTCTGCACCTGGGAGAAGAGAGACCAGAGGGTGCCCAGCCAGGGGCACAGGGGTGTTTGCAGGGACAGAGCACCCTCTGTCATATTTTAATGCCCATCACATAGAAAGTGCACACTCCATCAAAAAATAGGGCATCTCTTAAAACTACACCCAGCCCTAACCGGTTTTGCTCAGTGGTTAGAGCATTGGCCTGTGGACTCAAGGGTCCCAGGTTCGATTCCGGTCAAGGGGAGGCAGCTGATCGATGTTTCTAACTCTCTATCCCTCTCCCTTCACCTCTGTAAAAAAAAAAAAAAAAAAAAAAATCAATAAGATATTTTAACAACAACAAAAAAAACTACACCCAAACACGTGACTGAAATTATCCGATGGGAAAATTGAATGTCAACTCTCCGTTAGGCATCTGGATGCTGCGATGTAAGAAAGAGTTACTTTGTAAGTTGTCAAATAGCTAATAAAGAACTGGGGAAGCTGGAAAGAAAGGAAAAGGGAATGCTCATGTGGGTTCGCTCAAAGGCGTTGGAAGCCCCGTAGCTCTGGGAGACGCCCCTGCCCCGCCCTCCTTACGGGGAGGCCTCCGAGGCCCCCACAGGTGTCAGCTACCCGAAGCTGCTTCCAAGGGAATCAGTCCACGCCCTTCAGGTAGAAGCTGGTGTTTTGGCCGCTCTGGCCGTCTGAGGAGTTGTCTTTTCCTGTTTAGGAAATTCTCTGTTCCGTATGTAATAAGTGATTTTGTTTCTGGAAAGGTAGGTGTGCCTCCTGGTTGACGTTTGTCTTTTTGAATTCTAGATCTGGGACATATTTCTTAAAGTAAGAAATACGATCCTTGCAGATAAATGATACAGGGTGTCCCAAAAATATATACACATACTTTGAATCGTTAGTAAGACAGTGATTATTAAAATGTATTTCATTTTTAAAATTGCGCTGTCAGCCCTTACAGCGTGCGTCTGTTTTGGGGGGACACCCTGTATAGTTCTCGGTTTGCACCTTGACGTCGAGTTTCCAGCCTAACGCGTTGTTCCCCCTTTTAGGGTCAGCCTTTACCACATCCGACAACTTGTCTCTCAGCTCCTGGGTGTCCTCTTCGTCCAGTTTCCCTGGATTTCAGCACCCACAGTCCCTGACTGCTCTGGGCACCAGCACAGCGTCCATAGCAACGCCCATTCCTCACCCCATCCAGGGCTCTCTGCCGCCATACAGCCGCCTGGGGATGCCTCTGACCCCCTCGGCCCTCGCCAGCTCCATGCAGGGGAGTGGCCCCACCTTCCCCTCCTTCCACATGCCCCGGTACCACCACTACTTCCAGCAGGGCCCCTACGCCGCCATCCAGGGACTGCGCCACTCCTCCGCCGTGATGACGCCTTTCGTATGACTCTTCTGAGAGCAGGAGAATCCCAACCCAGAATGTGCCAGTGGGTATGGAACGGAGGACAGGCTTTGGGGGGTGGGGGGAGGGAGGGTTGGCGTGAGGGATCTCCAGGAGACACGCGATCTATTGAGGAGAGCGGGACTCCCAGCGAAGCCTGAGGGAATGCACCATGGACCAGGATTCATCTGGAGATGTGGGGGGCAAAGTGGGGCGGGGGGGCTCTTGGGTTCGAGAAAGAATCAGTGTCAAGGTCTCAGCCAGCCTAAGTTCTGCAACTGATAGGCTATCCGTTTCCCCAGACAGTTGAATCACACAAGGCAGATGAATCTTAAAAGTGCATTTTGCTAGTGGTTGAAGACGCTGCGTCGATGCAGTCATGTGTAAAATCAAAGTGTGTAGGTTCCCTCTCTGCTTCCCATACACAGGTTAAAAGGATCTTCATCGAGGCCAGCATCCGGCCAGCATGCAGAACGACCGAGGGGCGGTGCCTCCCTGTAGGAACTGGGCACAGAGGGAAGCGGTGTTGGTGCTGGAGCAGAGGCATGCGTGGCTTTGCTTTGTGTCCGCTCGCTGGGGAAGGCGCCGCCATCAGCTGACGCATCCTGTTGTGTGAACAGTTGGCAGTGACTTTGCACTGTTCTCTTTGTGATAACGAAGGGCCAGGGCCTGGCGGGCGCTCTCTCACCATCTTGTCTTCTTGCTTCCTCATTCCTTCCTTGCAAATCCTTGCCATGTAGGTAGGACAGCTCTTTTGTACACAGTTTTGAAGCTAGAGGCTCTGTGTGCGACATTGTCAGGCTGGGGGCTTGTTTTTTACTACTGATTTACTCACTGGGCGTGTTCTCCAGCGGCTCCAGGAGGACACGGAGCCCTGTCCCCTGCAGCGGCAATGAAGAGCCGGTGGCCCTGTTCCGGAAGGTTCTCCTGTAGGCCCCTTCGTCTGTACTTCAGCTTTGGGAGGCCCTGAGGATGTTAACAGGCACCGGCCCATGTTCTCATGTGAGGTGGGTGGATCTGCTCTGTGGCTGGGTCAGCTGCCACAGCGGACGGAAGGGAATTGCGAGTGGCCGTTCTGAGCGCCTGTGTAGCCGCCAGTGTAGGCATCTAAGCTCACACGGAGTTAGGTGTCCACCTAGCGGATCTGTCCTGTTCCTCACTGCTACGTCCTGTGACTCCCTTTCCATGTTTCTAGCCTGTCCTATGAAATGACATGTTGCTCAATGACTCCCTGACAGAAACACTGCTTCTGAGTACATCTAAACACGTATCCACTTTATTTCCAGCTCTCGCTGTCTCCTTATCCCTCCTCTGATGTGGTGTAGTAACTCATTATATTTTAGTTGTATATAATCTCTACTATTTTGAGGCAACATAGATCCAAATAGTATTTATGGTCAGGGTAGTACCGTTGGTATTTTGCAACAGTTCGTGACCCTAATAGCAGGCATTTAACGAGGTTCATAGACCATCAGCTTTAGATACAATGCAGTTAAGCTGCAGGAGACACCCAGCCTCCTTCACCAAGCTCCCCCAAACGCCATTTTAATTGAATTTGAATTTTCTCCGTAATCATTTTACTCGGTCTGACTGCAAAAGTACTGAATCTGTTCGAAGAGATGGGCACTGTTGCTGTGGAGAGCAGAGGTGTATTTCAGAGCAAATGCAATACACTATCGCATCCGACACCCCTGGGATTTTATTGGGTTGTTTTCACGTTAGGCTTCGCCACATCAGACACTTTTCTCGGGCACTTGTGGCTTATGAAACAAGGCAAGATGGCACAGCCTGTGTATGGGATGCTGTCGCTGGACTTTGCAACGGCCGTTCTCTGCTGTAGCCTGAATTTGCAGATAGAGAAGCATGGGCTGAGGCTGCCCAGCATCTGGGTCCTGTGGCCGACACCGTAGGCCGATTTATAGCTTCTGGCATGTTATGCTATAGTATACACAGGTAGTTTCTTTCTTTTTTATTTTTTTTGAAGCACAGCACAGTGTGTGTTTCTTTTAGAAAGCAGTTACGAGTAATGTTTAAATAGCCATAGAGCTTAGGATAGGGATTTGATGTTTAATCGTTGGCCTGTTGCCAGGGGCTCCTTTCAAGACAGTGGCTGCTTCAAGCAGCAACCACAGAAGTAGATGCTATTTAACATGATGCGACTCAAGACCCTGGTAAATTACTGGTCTACTAGAGTGAATCGTACCTGAACTTTCGTTTCAGTGAGACAAAAGGACCATTTTAATACAATTTTGATATTTTTCCCAATCAGTGTGTCTCAGAGGAGGGTGTGTGTTTTGGTTAAATATGGGTTTAAACCAGTATTTCCTGACTTCATAACTTTACTTTGTAATCAAGCAATAAGACTTCACAATAATAGAGTGCTTCGAGAGAAGACTAAGACAGCAAAGCATGCTATTGGAAAGTCACGTCTGGAATTTTCAGGGGGATGTGTTAGTATTTGGTTTTGTTTGAACCAGAAAAACAAAGCACAAGGACATGGAGCTCCACCCGTCAGTCACTGTCGCCATGGGAACCAAGGGTAGGAGTGTACCCCATCCGAGTCCTGTGAGCTTTTCAGGTTGTTGATCTTACGTAACTCCTTGGGTATTCAAGATTTAAAACTGTTAAGTGTGTCTTACCAAAAGTAATTACAAGAACTTGGGAATAAGGGAATACCAACGGAATAAGAAAGAGCATGAGTTATTTGGCATGACTTCAAGGTTTCCCCTCAGGTATCAAAAGTATGGCTAATGTGCAGAGCTGCTAGAAAGAGGCCCAGCCACAACTGCTGTATTGAGCCCAAAGAAATGAATTCATAGCTTAGTGGGGCCTGCATCTGTGATTTGTTTGAAAAGCATTTATCAATAATCCTAAGTTCTGTTATTTATCCTACAGAGTAAATCCTCCCCCTCCTCTGCCCACCCTTAGCAGTATAAAGACAGACATTCAGACTGTGTCTAACACATCCCAAATCATTGGGCTACAAGGTCTGCAGTAATGAATTTATATTGCATTGCTGGTCCTTCTGAGTTTACAGCAATGGTACGTTGTCCGGAAGGTGGACCACCATTCCTGGTGGGTGGGCACACAGGAGGAGCGATACAAAGCTTCCTGATGACTCACCATCTAGCAAAACCCCGCTGTAGGGCTCGATATGGGAGTCACACTGATTTGGGGGGCATCCCAGGGTCTCCCCTCCCCCACCCTTATCCACATCTCTATCGTTGCACAACATCCCAACCCCGCCCCCCAAAGAAAAAGGAAATCCTGTAAAAGCCCAAGAAATGAGTATTCTTAGGTAAAGCATCCTCACCCCATCCTGCCTCTGAGTTTTTCAGGAAGATGTTAGGGTAGTTATCCCCATTCTGAAGTTCTCACTCGCCTTTCAGGCTGTCCTGCTTGTATTTAAGCCGAATTATATGGAGAAAATAGGGCTCCAGTATAGTGGATGGAGTGCCCTCACCACCCCATTAGTGAGGCAGTCAAGCTTCGCCGTGACTCAGTAACTCAAGTGCAAAACTTCGGCTATGCAATGTGCAGGGTCACATGTAAGAAAAACACTCTTTTTACCCAGTCTTCCATTCACTAGGTAAGGAAAACCGTTTTCATTATTAAACATGTATGCACTTGATAATTATCACCAGGATAACAATATTATATCCTAAATCTATAAACTTTTTAAAAATATATTTTTATTGATTTCAGAGAGGAAGGGAGAGGGATAGAGAAATAGAAACATCAGTGACGGAGAGTCATTGATTAGCTGTCTCCCGCCTGCCCCCCTACTAGGGATCAAGCCCACAACCTGGGAATGTGCCCTTGACTGGAATGGTACCCGGGACCCTTCAGTCCACAGGCTGACGCTCTATCCATTGAGCCAAACTAGTTAGGGCTATACCCTAAATCTAGATGGCCTAGATCCGTGGTCGGCAAACTGCGGCTCACGAGCCACATGAGGCTCTTTGGCCCCTTGAGTGTGGCTCTTCCTAAGCCTTAGGAGTGCCCTAATTAAGTTAATAACAATGTACCTACCTATATAGTTTAAGTTTAAGAAATTTGGCTCTCAAAAGAAATTTCAATCGTTGTACTGTTGATATTTGGCTCTGTTGACTAAGGAGTTTGCTGACCACTGGCCTAGACCAACGGTTCTCAACCTGTGGGTCACGACCCCTTTGGGGGTCGAACGACCCTTTCACAGGGGTTGCCTAAGACCATCAGAAAACACATATATAATTACATATTGTTTTGTGATTAATCACTATGCTTTAATTATGTTCAATTTGTAACAATGAAATTGGGGGTCACCACAACATGAGGAACTGTATTAAAGGGTCGCGGCATTAGGAAGGTTGAGAACCACTGACCTAGACAGAAAGAAAGCCCTGCATAGAATTTAGCGGTTCCTCTGGAGAATCCCACTGGAGTGGTTGCTGGATTTTATACATTTCTATATGATTTCAGAATGCAAGGATTTATGGAAACAGGCAAAGGGAAGGTTACAAACTCACTTTGGAAAATCAAAATGCTTTCTTCACTACTATTCATTCCACGCCAGCTATAAAACAGTCCAATACTTACCTTTCTTCAGCATGCTTATATATGCGAAGGTTCACTGACAAATGTTTGCTAAGCAGAGATTCCCAAAGTATCTTCCGGCCCTTCTTTCTCTGTCCATGCCTTAAATAATTCCACTCCCCTCACCCCCGACAATACGAAAATAAAAACATTTTGGTGAAATGCTACATCTGGACAAAAAATACAGTTTGTTGTATTTTACTTCTGGTACATGATAATAGTGTATTTAGTTGTTTGTTTTTTCTTAGTTTCAGAACCCTAAAAAAAAGTCTTTGATTTCCTAAAGGAAAGAAAAAAATGCATTAGCCTTTTTAGGAGAGCTGTCACCGGCCTATTGTTTGCTGTGCTCATTTGCTTCATGAATTGCGTGAGAGCAGTCACTGTAATGAAGTGTGTGTGTGGGGGCTGGGGGGCGGGCATGGGAAATGTTTTATGAAAAAAAGAAGTTATAAGCCTAATACTATGAAGTAACATCTAACAAAGTTCTTTTTAAGTGCAATATATTTATTTCTGCTAGAAATGTATTATCAACATTATGTAATATTTGAAGCATTACATGTTATTTGTAAACAGCTTAAAATTATATATTACCCGAAGTTGTACAGAAGTACACTGTGTGCATATGAATTTCTTTCATTAAAAACGGTGTGGTTTTGATACATTTACACACAGTTACACCTCTCACTGTCTGACACCCTTTGCTCCGTGACTTTGGGCACCTGTCCCCACACCTGAAAGAAAAGAGGAAGATTTGGTAAGGTCGCAGGTCATGACTGGCCACTCCCAGGCAGACACAGCCCACGGGACTACTACACAGGGTTTGGGTTTTGCCTTTGAAGACCCCACAGAGAAGACATTGCTCTCAAGTCCCCACTAGTTCCAAATGTCCCACCCGTGGTCCCCTTCACTCATCCCTCTCCCTGTGAGCTCTCAGAGTGCGGGGACCTGGCCCTTCTGCGCAGAATGATACGGAGACGCCACAGAGCTTAAAGGACGCCTGCCTCTCATTCCAACCCTGAGCTCCTGGATGTGGTGTGATGACATTACACAGCAGGCTGGCACCAAATAAGATTAGCCAAACTCAGCCCTAATCCTTCTTCCACATGACAGTCCTTCAGAAGCTGACGTTATCACGCCTCCTGCTCTTGCAGAAGTCTAATCTGTTACCCGGCATATTCTGCGTGTGCCAAACACCAACCTTGTAACAACCTTTTATTTGGAATAATTCTAAGCTTACAGATAAGGTGCGTGAATAGTATAAAGAAACCCTGTACTTTACTTAGATTGGCCAATTATTAACTTTTTGACTCATTTCTTTTAGCGTTTGCACTCATAGTAGTGCACATGCACATATGCGTGCACGCGCACATACACACACACACACACACGCAATATATACAAACTAGAGGCCCAGTACACAAAGTTCATGCACGGGTAGGGTCCCTAGTGGCTGCCGGCTGCCAGCCAGGGCCTCCCTTTGTTCTGTGCCGCCCCCTGGTGGTCAGCGCACATCATAGCGAGTGATCAAACTGGTCGGTTGAACTCCCGAGGGGACACGTTGCATATTAGGCTTTTATATATATAGATTGTTTTTCTGAATCATTTGGGAGTAAATTTCACATATCGTGCCCTATTATCCCTAAGCAATTCAAAGTGTAGCTCATAAAACCAAGAAGATCCCATGAAACATCCTGGTAGAGTTAGCAACCTCAGGACATTTAGCAGTGGAACAAGGCTGAGATCTGCTGTCTGTACTCCAGTTATGTCTAGTAACCCAGTGATATCCTCTGTGGCATATCTTTTCCCTCAGGAAAGATCCAGTGCAGGGTCACATATTGCATTTTTAAATGTTTCTTTAGTTTCTTTTAAGCTGATACAGTTCCTCAGCCTCTGTCTTTCATGGCAAAATCATCATCATCATCATCATCATCATCATCATCATCATCATCATCATCCCTGTTGTCAGTGGTTTATAAGAGATTCCTTTTAGTTGGGGATCTGTATTAGAAACAGAGATCTTGGTGCCAGAGGTGCCCAGTGGGGGTGTGTTTGCTTCTTTCAGCGGACAGGAATCCGCTGTGGGGGGTGTGCAGGAGGCAGCTGATCAATGTTCACTCTCATCATTGATGTTTCTATCTCTCCCTCTCCCTCTCCCTTCCTCTCTGAAATCAACAACAATATATATCTATATCTATACATATATATATCTTTATTTCATATATATATTAAAATAAACCAATTCTAAAGTTTAGATGGTGAGGCAAAGGGCCCAGAATATCCAATACAATATTGAAGAAGAACAAAGGTGGAGAACTGACAGTACCCAATTTCAAAGCTTACCAAAAAGCTACAGTAATAAAGATGGTATGCTCTTGGTGAAACAATAGAGAAGATCAACGAAACAGAATAGAGAGCCCAGAAAATACACCCACATGAGTATAGTCAACCGATCTGTGAACAGATGGTTCACCAAAGAAGATAAACAGATCACAAATGAACATGAAAAGATGCTCAACATCACATGTCATTTGGGAAATGCAAATGAAAACAACAATGAGATAGCACTACACAACTGTGAGAATGTGGAATTAGATAGTGGTGACAGTTGCACAACCTTGTGAATATATTAAAGTCAGTGAATCCTACACTTAAAAGAATGCATGCTATCGTATGTGAATTATATCTCACTAGAGCTGTTACTTTAAAATGCAAAATAAAAAAGATAGCAAATCTTTTCTCTTCATTCTTTAGGGCCCAACTTGTCAACTTTGAGAACTTCCAGGGAAGTAAAATCTTGTGTATTTGTGAGTTAAGAGTGAGTGTTCTAGAATCTCCTCCCTGCCTCAATTTATTTTATCTGTGAAAAGAAGATAATATTGCCTATTTGAGAGCATTGTGTGGCTGTGGGCTCTCAGTTTATATTAGTCTATTTTTACCCCCGCCCCCCCCCTTTTTTTTTCAAGAAGAATTATAGCTGGTTCTTTGGGAAGATAATGTAAATAATTCTTCTCCATCCTGAGTTTTGATATGGTAATAATTGCTACCTTTTATGAAACATTTACTATATTTACACACTTTATGTACATTATCTGGCTTAATCTTTGCAACAAATCTATGAGGTAGGAGCTATTATTACTCCCATTTAAAGTATGAGAAAACAGGCTTAGAGAGATTAAGTGATCTTCAGTAAATGGGAAAGCCAGATCCCCAAGTTCTTCCTTTACTCATCACACACTGCACTAATCCCTCACAGAAATAGCTGTAAAATATAAAAATTAAAAAACAACAACACCATTTAGCTTGCCTTTTCTGAACCCAAGCTACACGGCCTTAACTAAGAAACATAAATATTGTATAACTCAGCACCTTTTCTCCTAACTGACTATAAATCATCACTGGTAAGTGTCTCAAGAAGTGTTCGAACAGACTGCAGGCCAGAGGGAATTCTAAAGTCCTACCTTCCTCTTTTGTGGGTGGGTCATAGCCATATGGAAGCAGGACTCTGCGGCCCGCGGGACAGTCAGCTGGGCTTGATGTAAGCGCCTACTACTTACTTAGGCACAGGGCCTAGTTGCCATGTAGCCTGCGAGAACGTGGACGTAATAGCAAAGGGGAACAATGGAGCCCACTGCCCTCAGAGACTGGACAGCGAGTGAAGTCAGGCAGGAGCCAGAGGAAGAGACCAGACGTGCCGCGGGAGCCGGGTGGGGCTGGGCTGAACAGGTTAGAGAGAGGAGACGGGGAGGCTGTGCTCATCGGGGTTGGTGGTGAGGGTGCTGCAACTGGAGGACAGGATGGGGGACACACTGTGGGGTGAACTGCAGAGTGTCAGACCCTCAGGCTGGAATCAGAACACAGAGCTGGAGAGAAGGGAAGCCTTGGGAAGAAGAGAATTTGGTACAGGGCACTGTATGGCTCAACAGGTACGTCTTTCCAGCTACCCAAATATATGTCCACATTTAACGGGAATCAAATGAGGCCGTGTAGTCCAAAGTCTTTATTTCATAGTTGAGGACATCAGAGGTAGAGGAATAAACAGCCCAAAGCATACTGGGCCCAAATCCCGTAATATTTCTAGACCACTATGTCATAAAGTTAAATCTTAAGTCCATCTAAAACATCATGTAATATAAAACATAGCATCCAGATGCCTATGTATCTTTGCCGTGTTTGCTGTTTTGCATTTAATCTGCC